TTAGATTCGACGAGTATCAACGCTTGATGGCATTGATGACTTCGATGCCTAATCCGGAATAACCGGTCCGGCCGCCTCCCCCCCCCTCCTCCCCCCACCCGCCACCGTTCATAGTGCCCGTGCGTGCATGAACGTTGCCGGCGATTCTAGCACGGCTCGTTGAACGTGAATCTCGTCTCTCTACCACTGGACGATGACCCGTCTTGCTTATTTATCGTCGCGCTTTTACGGCTTAATTGTTATTCGGTGCTTGCACTATGAGACGTTTCGTCACATACACGCATACACACAGAGATACGCGGGAGCACGCGCTATATGGCACTCGCTATATCGAATCAATCGATAATACATATCTGGATAATAAATATTTTATGTCATGCAAATTTACTTCCATTACATTGTAAATTTATCTATTTATGCGCATATCTCTATTTATATGTTTTAAAAAGAAATATCTAAACTTGAAAATGTATCCTTTTATTTAGATGAAATATTTTTTTTCTTTTTTTCTTTTTTTTTTTGTGACGATTAGAAATATCTGCGATATAACAGTCATCGACAAAATTATTTCAAATCATCACTATGAATTCATCAGATAGTGACAAACAAATTCAAAAAGATGACTGATATTCATGAGATCGCAAATTAATTAATTAATATGAATAATAGATTTATTAAATATAATCGATTTTATATTATAAATATATACTTCGCAGAGAGGCAAAGAGGTTCTGTAGATACTTCAAAATTTTACTATAACTTGACTCAGCGAGAGTTCCAATCCAATTGATTCAATTTGATAAAAAAAAAAAAACCTTGTTTCAATTAATTGTTATGACAACGTTTCTGCTACATCATGTAAGATGGAATTGTCGGAATTATCGAAACTACGCATCTGCGTGCGATTGAACGAAGAAAATATGCGAAAGAAGAAGGGGAAAGGGAGAGTGAGGTCTTATTTCACGACAACCATGAGAGTGAGATGAATACTGAATAGAGACGCATTTTTGTGAAGTGGACTCTGGCCTTATCTCTAGGTAGACGGCCTGCTATCATTGCGGTTCTCATAGAATGACTAATAACACGACACAAACGTGAACAGAGGATTCAGAACTTTTTTTCGATTCCCTGCAGAATTCTCGAAGTATTTGGAGTTCATTGAAACGTTCAAAGAATCCTTCCAGCACTGTAAAAATCAAGCAAAAATGTGAAAAACAATCATCAGAGGATCATGATCGATAAGTCTTGAAGACTTTTAAAAATCTTTGAGGATCTTTCAGAATGTATTCTGAAAACTTTCAGATGTCCTCAGAAGCCCAAAAGTCTCTGAGAATTTTTTGAGGAAAGAACTCTACAATCGTTGTCGAAATTTATTGAGAAATCCTAACCAATTTTGAAGACTCACAAAATATCAAGTTTGAAAACGATAAAGATATTTGAGGAATATAATTTAAAAGCTTTATGAAAATATATTTATTGCATCTGTAATTCTGAGTTTTTTAAATATCTTTGAGTGATCTAAAAATCTCCGAAATTATTCGAAGATCTTTGAGGATTTCTAAAAATATTAATTTGAGCATCACTGCCACGCTCAAAGCCTATCTCACATTACGCGAACACGTGTGTCATGGATTTCTCAAATCATTCGTCGATTAGCCCAGCCAGCTGCTCAGTCATCTGAGCATCGCTGGTTTATAAATCGAGTTTGTCAGTTCAGTGGCCTCAAAAACCAAGGCTAAACTTTAAATATCGGTCAACCAATTAAGCGGTCAGTATTTAAATAAAAAATATTCTCACATAATTCGATAAGATTCAGTTCGCATATAAGGTCAAATTATGATAGTTGGTGATTATCATCTTGGATAAATCTACATGACATGTAAATTCAGAAAAACCTGAATTAAAAAAAAAAAGTATAAAAAAACTCGTATTGCATTTCGCTATCGTCAATTTTCAGATTGCGCATACCAAGATGCTGAGGTAATAATGTTGCGAAATAACTCGCGAAAATTCATTTAAACGCAAATATTTTTTTCTCCTTTAAAAGTAATAAATAAGTATAATTCGCCGGATATTTTCTTTTAAAAAGCATCCATTAATTTATTCACATAATTATAGAATATATAATAAGTTTGTTTTGTATATTTATAATGTAAAACATTTTGTCGGTCTATATGTTTATATATTTGTTACATACATTGACTGAAATGATGTTCTTTCATTATTTATCCGGTTGTTGTTATAATCACATGCCCATTTAATCAAATTGTTAAATGCTCATTCCAAAAAGTAGGGAAGTCTAGATTTGATTTCTGACCGTGATGATAGCGCAATAAGACATGTTTCATAGATTTTAATTACTATCTTTTAATAAGGCATTATAGGAATTTAATTTTGGTTTTGGCTAGCTATATTGCAAGCTCATTGAAAAATAACAAACATATTTGATGGTAGAAACAAAGCCTATTAAATTTATGTATTTAATTTCGAAAAATAATTATTAGCAGTCCAAAAGCCACCCATAATCGAATAAGCCCATTTTGTACATTTCTAGTGTACGTTTTCTCTCTTTTCTCGGGTCTATGGATATTTATATGTTTAATAATTCCAAAATTATTCCGATCCCATCAATATTTAATTTGTGATGATTAGTTTTCGATACGTAGTTTTGATGTCTTATCCTTCATTATATATTCAAATGCCGCGTCTGAATTACGATATCATTTCCGCGATATCGAATGTAACAATAAATTCGCAAGTATTTGATGCGACGATTTTA